ATCTGAAGTATGTTGACTTATAGGTGCAACAATGCAGTTTCAACATGGGATGGCAGTACTCTACGACCATCAGAAGGGGCTGGCGGTAGACATTTCATCTATTTATAGTATTAATAATGTCCTGTGATAAGGACAGCCCATCTGAAGTATGTTGACTTATAGTTGCAACAATGCACTTTCAACATGGGCTGTTTGTATTTTAAGACCATCAGAATTGGCAGGCAACCTTGAATTCATTTTATGTGCACTGTAAATAAAATTCTATCAAAATTTCAAGTCATCTGAAGTATGATGACTTATAGGTGCAACAATGCAGTTTCAACATGGGCTGGCAGTACTTTATGACCATCAGAAGGGGCTGGCTGTAGACATTTCATCTATTTATAATATTAATAATGTCCTGTGATAAGGACAGCCCATCTGAAGTATGTTGACTTATAGTTGCAACAATGCACTTTCAACATGGGCTGGCAATACTTTAAGACCATCAGATTGGGCTGGCTGTAGATATTTCATCTATTTATAATATTAATAATGTCATGAGATAAGGACAGCTCATCTGAAGTATGTTGACTTATAGTTGCAACAAACTTTCAACATGGGCTGGCAATACTTTAAGACCATCAGATTGGGCTGGCTGTAGATATTTCAACTATTTATAATATTAATAATGTCCTGTGATAAGGACAGCCCATCTGAAGTATGTTGACTTATAGTTGCAACAATGCACTTTCAACATGGGCTGGCAGTACTCTACGACCATCAGAATTGGCAGGCAACGTTGAATTCATTTTATATACACTGTAAATAAAATTCTCTCTAAATTTCAAGTCGTCTGAAGTATGTTGAGTAATCGGTTTTCACAGACATCTTTAATCGCTGAAAACGCATAATCAAGACCGCTGTACAGCAGCCAGCCCTCCAGATCTCGATTTATATATTAACAAGCTAAGCTCACAAAAAATTTCAATCGATCTGAAGTATGATGAGTTTTTTGGTCATGAGCTCTCCGTCTATAGGTGAATTTAACCCCTACTTGGCTTCTTATATTTTTTAATAACTAACCTTTATATATGGACCACACTGAAAGCTCCTTTTCATATAAAAATTCGTGCGTGTCCTACCCGTGACAGACGTTGTCCCGCGAGTGACAGAGGAATTTCGGATTTTTTGTATAATAAAGCCATCAGTTTTTTGTATTTTTGGCTTAGTTTGTGTTCTTGGTTCTTTGTTTTATTATAAGACATCAAGTTCACACAGAAAAGTGAAATAAATTCGCAGAGTTTCCGTAAAATATATCTGCTCCAAAAAGCAGGTTCTTTTTTTGTCCCTCTCGTGACAGAAGAAATAAATCAGATTTTTTCCATACAAAAGTAAGCTGAAATTTTTTTTCGTGTTTTGTAATAACTCACATAATAGTCAATTAGGTGTAGCTTTATCAAAATGTAAAATCGTTGAGTATTTTATACTTAAATTTAAACAAGAAAGAAAATAATTTTGTACAAATGTCCAGCCCGTGACGGTGGAATCGCCCATTACCGAAATCCGTTTTTGAAAAATCAAAATTTTTGACTTTTGTGTAAGGGGCAGTCCACTATGCACTGCGGTGTCGTTATCCATGCATACAACATGCCCAAGCCAGCGCAATCGTTGTAGTTTTATGCGCTGGAAAATGCTACACTTATGCCTCTTAGTTTCAGGCTGACGACTTTGTCTGCATACGCCAGCAGCATCGTTCTTTTGCTATATATGGTGCCGCTGTGATTCATATTGGCAGCTCTTAATACGCTTTCCAGCATAAGATTGCCTCTCCTTGCCTAAAACCTCGTTTGGGCTCGTAGCGGTCCTTCACAAATTTAACGGAGCTAACGGTTATGCTCAGTGTCACTCTCATTAGCGCACACAAGGGGTGGGTTTTGGGGTTCAAACCCCCCCTAAAGCTAATAACCTGAAATACAAACTGTATCCTAAAGCCAGCTCTCAAGAAAAATCACAAGAAATATTTTTTATTATAAAGCACTTTGCTTTTGCTGTAAATTTTCTTGAAGAAATAAGTATACGAGCATTTTTTTCTTGAGAGATGCAAATTGATTTAAGAAATTTTGATAGAAGAAAATTCCTATTCCATCATATATGTAATACTTCTATATTGGCAGTAAGCTAACTTCTCAATGTGTAAGCATTCCGAAATCAAAGCGAGACAGTCTAGTACCGTTTTTGTCAATGTATTGTGTACTTGAGTGCCGTTTTTATACCCGAGCGCACTTGTGCACAAGGGTATATTAATTTTGTTCACATAACGGTTGTTTGTAACAGCCAAAACGAATCGAGATAGATGTAGACAAATGTATACATAAATGATCAGGATGAAAAAAGAAATCGATTAAGCCATGTCTGTCTGTCCGTCCGTCTGTCCGTCTGTTCGTCCGTCCGTGTACACGATAACTCGAGCAAAAATTGAGATATCTCAACGAAATTTGGTATGTAGGTTTCCCTTAATCCAAGGTAGGTTGGTATTGAAAATGGGCGAAATCGGACTTTAACCACGCCCACTTCCCATATAACGGTAATTTCCAGAAATACGAAAACTGCGATATTTTAGTAACTAATGAAGATAATTCACTCAAAATTGATATTTATAATAAGTTTTAGACGAAAAATAAGAATATTATAAATTTTTGGAAAATGGGCGTAGCCACGCCCACTTATGGTTACATGTGTATATCTCGGTAACCGCTGCACCAATTTCTTCCAAACTTGGCACAGATGTTGGCCTTGGTACAGCATACTAAATGGAAATTTTGAGAATCGGACAATAACCACGCCCACATCCCATATAACGGTAATTTAGAGAAATACAAAATCTTCGATAAATCAGTAAATATTGAAGCTAATTTATTCAAAATTGATGCTTGCAACAATTCTTTACCAAGAAATACGCTTATGGTAAAATTTTGGAAAATGGGCGTGGCACTGTCCACTTATGATCACATATAAGTATATCGGTAACCGTTCTACCAATTTGTACCAACCTCGGTGTGGTTATTGTGCTTGCCACATATAAGCAAAACGTTAAAAATTATTGAAATCGGACTAAAATAACGGCCGCTTCTCATATAACGGTAAATTTCAGAAATGCTTGAAACTTCAATATTTCGAAATTGAGGGACGCTAATTTACTCAAAATTGATACACCCCGGCTTACCATCTAGCGGAAGGTTTCGGAAAGGTGAAAAAACATATATTTAATACTTGCGCCGGGTATTTAATGTTCGGCTCCGCCCGAACTTAGACTTTCTTACTTGTTGTATATGTATTGTATACATGTTTATTTATAAACGTATGTGTTCCTTTTCTTTCGTACGTGTTTATTGATATATCTGTACTGTAGTGTTTTCGGACGGTACTAGCTCTTACTACCAATATAGGAGTATTACATATATGTATTCCATTTCTTGTGCGCCATTTTATATGAATTTTTCGTTTTTTTTTTTTAGAGCTCTTAAAAGTTTAACTGCGAATGAAACCTAAAAATATGCAATGCATACTCACTTACTGAGCCTAAAAGAGTTTACAACTGATATGTCCTTAACAAGGATTCGAAGATTTAATTTGCCCACTTCGAATTCGTTCCACCAAAATTGCCTACATAACAAAAATTCAAGTTCATTTAATTTTCTCGGTATTCGAAATATTAAAAAAAATAGGCAATCGTAAAAAATCACCATCTCATTCGAAAACCAGAAACCAGATATCGAGGAAAATGAACATTAAAACTCTTCTTTTTTTAATTTTTTTATTACTTTTGCAAGTTGAGCGCATCTTGTGTTTAAAGAACTTTATATTAAACAAGTAATTTCAAATTACGGGAAGACCATTGAGGTACCATCTTTCCGATAAAAAAAAAGAATTATTGAAATCGGTTCACGTGGTCCAAAGTTATGCGTTAACATACTATTCCGACGAATTGATAACCTACCTGTACAATTTGCAGCGAACACTTACGCAACTCACTGTGCTACATCAGTTAAACACAGTCTCCCCTTCGGTACCGCCACTGTCTACGCCAGCTGGAGTAACAACTTGCACTTGCTAAGCAGTATACTCGTTCTCTACAGTCCGCTTAGCTTCACTCACGATGTAACGGAATATCACCAACTTGCTCAGCTACACCTTTATGCATACTCCCACTCCATGCAAGGGACGGTTAAGCTTGCATGGCTCTGGAAGCTGACGAGGAAATTCAGTACAAGTAAACAGCGGCCAGAAACACCACGGACGGTGGTGTTCACATCGTTTACTTATAGTATATCAACTAAACATATATAATTGTACACAATAAATATCATCTTATTAACGACAAAGGAGCGATCATTTGTGTGAAGAACAGTTCATATAGTAACGGGTATAGTATTCGTCAATACTACACATTTTATGGTGGCCCATGAGGGGAATCCTCCTTCCTTCAAAAAGAACAAACCAAAACATCTACATATATATATATATTTTGCAAAAGAGAACCACTTTGACCGCTGTTTGCAGTTTCAAGGGCATCGGTTACCCACTTGTGCGCTGTCAGCGTATGCAGTTCACTTAACTCGGCGCGCTGCAGTCACTGGTTGCTGTTCGCAGAAAAGCGTAATACAATTGGTCGCCGTTAGCGTATGTACTGTCCGGCGCGCTGCAGTCAAAATTTTAACCTCTGCCAACGTTGTACACATCTTTAACGGCTGTAACGTCCGTGGCTCAATTCATCGTTGGATTTTTTCTTGCGCTCAACTTTTTTCGCTCAACTCCAATTCGCCACAAAGGAATATTTACGCTCGTCCTAACACTTTGAGTCAACTTTAGTGGTGAAATAATCATCGGATTTATTTTTTCCGCTCAACTCTAATACGCCGCAAAGGGAACATTTACGTTCATCACCTACATAAACTTAAACGTAAGTTCTAAAATCTCATTTACGCTATATATACATATATATATTAGCAAATAAAAATATGGGTGATACAGCATTAATTAAGCTGCAGGTAAATCTGCTTGCGTCCCTTGAGAAAATACACGTCAACTTTAAAAAGGATTCACTTGGGCGAAAAACTAAAACCTATTTTCAGCAACGATTAAAGCGTGTTGATGAGCTCAATGAGGAATTTCGTTCCACGCACAAATCTATTGTCTGTTCTGACATTAAGTCGGACGACGAATACCTCACCACTGATATTGCCTCCCAGTTCGAAGAACTTCATTTGGAACTTTTCTGTCTGCTCACACAGCGTCATGACGAACTGTTTCCCCCTACATCCGAAAAGGAGGAGACAAAGAGCGGCACGCAGCCAACTAGTTCCCAGGTGCGATTTGTCGCTTCAACGCAATTCCCGCGGTTACCAGTACCATCGTTTTCTGGCAAGTTTACCGACTGGGCCAGCTTTCACGATTCTTTCAACCGATTGATTCATAATAACATTGAATTAAATCCCATCCAAAAGTTTCATTATTTGAAGCAGGCTTTGCCACTTGAGCGTGATCTTGACATACAACAAATGCTTCTGACAGAAGCGAATTATACCACTGCATGGGATCTGTTAGTAAAACGTTATAATAACCCGCGAATAATATTTTCCCATCATATGAACACGCTGTACAACTTACCAGTTCTTGTTAAAGAAAAATCTGACGACATCAAAACCCTGCTTAATGTGGCGAATGTATGTGTTAATGAATTTAAACGCCTTAAGCTCCCAATTGGGGAATGCGATCATTGGATTGCCCATTACTTAACCAAAAAATTACCAACTGAAACCCACTCAGCATGGGAGCGCCACCTGGGAAGCAAAATAGAGATTCCCACCTTTTTTGACCTAGAAGAGTTTTTAACCATTCGCCTCTTCACCATTGATGCTATCGAAAATCGTAGCTTAGCCTTTAATGCCACGTCTTCACGTATGTTGTCTAACGATATTAAAAATCGTCATCTTTACAAATCAAAATCATCTGCGCGACCGACACATAACGTCAAAGCACACCATGCAGCCACTAAAGTCAATCCATCTTCTCAAGATTGCTGTGGACTTTGTGGACAAGCACATATACTACGTCGTTGCCCAATGTTTCTTTCCAAAGATTGTTTTGAAAGAAAAGGCATTGTTGACAAGGCCAAGCTGTGTCTAAATTGTTTGAGCAAGTCTCATGCATTGTCGCAATGCACAAGCAGTAAAAATTGCATCCAATGTGGTCAACGTCACCACACGCTCTTACACTTCCCACGGACTTCGCTAACCAATACAGCTGCGCTGCCACTCGCTCAACACACCTCCACTTCTTTCAATTCCGCATCGGCTCCCGCACAGGGACAAGTAGCCCCAATAAATTCCCACGCTATGTCCACGTCAGCCTTTGATCTAAGGCGCGTAACAAATGCACATGCTACATTATCAGCAAATTCTGCACATTTTGGTCTACGAACATCAGCGGTTAACTCACAATGACAGGTTCTGTTGGCCACAGCTTTAGTGTCACTACGTAACGAAGCAACAAACCAATCTTCAACGTTTTACGCCCTTATAGACCAAGGTTCAGAAGGGACACTGATTTCCGAAAATGCAGTTCAACGTTTAGGCCTTGCACGTCATCCTACTGCTGCAAGCATCTGTGGAGTGGGTCCAAGTGCGCTAAGCCAGTCAAAGTTTTTGGTAAGCTGCACTCTTCATTCTTGCCACGATAAAACCTTTGCCGCTCCTATTGAAAGCGCGTATGTGTTGAAGCAACTGACAACCGAGTTGCCAAGTAGGCGCAGCGTGCCACAACAATTGTCTCATCTTCAAGGTCTTACTCTAGCAGACCCATTATACTATCAGCCGAAGAAAATCGACCTGATTCTTGGTGCCGACATGGTTGCTCAAATCTTGTTACCGGAAATGCGCATTGGCGCATTTGATCAGCCAATAGCTCAAAAAACACATCTTGGCTGGATTTTGTTGGGTCGAATCGATTCTCCACCATCGTCAGCTATCACAGTTCGTTGCCATCACGCGAACCTTGAACTAGAGGCCCTTGTGCAGAAGTTCTACGAAAACGAACAAGTGCCTACAGAAACACCAATGTCTGAGCAAGACAAGTGGTGTGAAGAGTTTTTTCAAAAAACACACGTAAGACAAGACAATGGAAAATATCTTGTTCGACTTCCGTTAAAATCAATTTACGACCCTAATCAAACGTTAGGGAAATCCAAGCAAATTGCACTTAATCGGTTTTTACACCTGGAACGTAAATTTTAGCACGACGAAACCCTACATGGGCAATACATGGAGGGTATAGAAGATTATTTTCACCTCAATCAAATTGTTCCGGCAACAACGAGTGAGGACCAACATTATTTGCTGACTGCATCTAACAAGCCCACGTTCACATCTTGTGTTTTGCCGCATCACGCGGTAGTAAAGAAAGATAGATCCAACACTAAGGTGCGCATTGTGTATGACGCCTCTTCAAAAACATCAAATGGCCGTTCCTTAAACGATATGTTGTGCACCGGCCCACCATTGCAAAATGACCTCCCAGCAGTCATTTTGAATTGGCGTCTGCACAAATTCGTTTTCTTGGCGGACATACAAAAAATGTACCGATGCATTGATATGCACCAAGATGATGCGCAATACCAACGCATTACTGTCTCACCACTGTGACCTTTGGTACAGCCTCGGCTCCATACACCGCAATCAGAGTTATTCACCAGATCGCTCAAGACGAGAAGGAACGTTTCCCTCTTGCTGAAATGATTTTGCTCAACGATATTTATGTTGACGATGTGTTAAGTGGAAGCGACACGATCTCCAGAGCCGTACAAATGCGAAATCAACTTATTTCCGCTCTACAATCAGCCGGTATGGAACTCAGGAAGTGGTCAAGTAATACGCCTGAGCTGTTGCAGTCCATTCCTACAGAGTACCATTCATTTAGTGCTAGTTGGCAACTTAACGAAGACCAAACTGTCAAAACGCTTGGTTTGCACTGGCAGCCAAATAACGATTTTCTTACTTTTTCTTTAAACTTTTCAATTTTTCATACAGCAACTAAAAGGTCTGTGCTAGCTACTATCGCGCGCATATTTGATCCGCTTGGATTTTTGAATCCAATAACTATTGCTGCGAAAATTATTCTAAAAGAAATTTGGTCAACGAAGATAAAGCGTCAAGACGAAAAACATACCGGACTAGAGTGGGATGAAGAGCTGCCATCAACTCTGGCCATCTTATGGCAAAATTTTGTTGCTGAGCTACCTAATATAGAAAACATCTCAATACCACGCTGGCTTAATTACACGCTACGACCACACTCAATGGAAATACATTCCTTCTGCGAAGGATCGTTATCTGCTTACGCAGCTGCCGTATATCTGCGCATACAATACCAACATGGTGAGATCCACACCCATCTGATCACGTCTAAAGCCAAGGTAACACCACAGAATCTAATAACGATTCCACGAGTAGAGTTATGTGGTGCAGTATTAGCTACAACCGTTGCCAAATGGGCGCAACAACACTTACAACAACGCTGTGGTGAGATTCCGATATATTATTGGACCGATGCAACGATCGTCCTACACTGGATTGCCGGTGATATACATCGATGGAAACTCTACGTGGCGAATCGCGTAGCTAAAATTTTGTCAGTTAGCTTGCCCAGTCAATGGAGTCATGTCAAAACTCAGGATAATCCGGCCGACTGCGCGACTAGAGGTTTAACTCCGACTCAACTTCAACAATTCGATCTTTGGTGGATCGGTCCTGCGTGGCTTCGGCAAGATAAATCGACCTGGCCTATTTCTTCTAGTAGCCCAGATGATATCGACAGCACAGCTACCGAAGAAAAACTAGCTAAAGTATTAGCGCTTTCGATAATTACCGAACCTTCGTTTCTACTACGATATTCTTCCTACATCAAACTCGTACGTATAACAGCTAGGCTGCTACGATTCTTTTATAATCTTCGCAAAACTCGCAAGGAAGACCGTCATAGTGGACCGCTCACCACTAACGAACTTCAGCAAAGTCTCTTTCGAATTGTTCACATGGTACAGTGTGAAACATTTGGCTCGGAAATTCGATGTATTAAATCTAAAATCAACATACCCACAACAAGCAAACTAGTCAGTTTGACACCTTTCCTAGATGGAAACGTAACAAACCTTCGTTAGTCTCTCAATTGATGGGAGACCTGCCCGCAAAACGTGTAAATCCACCTCAACGCGCATTTGTTGCAACTGGAGTGGACTACACAGGTGCCATCGAAATAAAATCGTCGAAGTATAGAGGGCACACGGTGTATAAAGGTTACGTAGCCATATTTATATGCCTTGCAACCAAGGCCGTGCACCTTGAAGCCGTCACTAGCATGTCTACCGAGCATTTCTTGTGGGCGCTACAGCGTTTCATCGGGCGACGTGGCCTTTGTCAAGACATCTATAGTGACTGTGGCACCAACTTCATTGGTGCAGATGGCATTCTAAAAACTAATTACCAAAAATTTCGAGCCGACTTGGAACGCGAAGTCATCCCAAAACTGACTGACCTACATATTCAATGGCATTTTAATCCACCTCAATCTCCCAACTTTGGGGGACTTTGGGAAGCCAATGTAAAATCAATTAAATACCATTTGAAACGAGCTGTCGGTGGAACCCGGTTGACATACGAACAGCTATCTACAGTCTTGGTTCGTATTGAGGCGTGCCTTAACTCTAGGCCGTTATGCCCACTTACCTCCGATCCAGATGATCTTTTGGTGCTCACACCCGGGCACTTCCTAATCGGCGATGCTTTACTGTCACCACCGGAATCGGCTCCTGAAAACAAATCGTTGTCTTTACAATATTTTGAGCTCCAAAGATTGGTTCAACAATTTTGGATAAGATGGTCCTCAGATTGGCTCTCGCATCTTCAAGCGCGTCCCAAATGGAGACAACAAGAACAAAATTTAGCAGTCGGTGAACTTGTCTTGATAAAGGATGATCGATTACCACCCAATCAATGGTTATTGGGGCGTATTACGGAACTACATCCCGGATCAGACCACCTTGTTCGTGTCGTCACTGTTCGTACGCCAAACGGTCTTTACAAGCGGTCGGTTTCGAAAATTTGCAGATTGCCGATTCCAACTTGCAATGATGCCAACATAATTCACTAACCCCATTGTTATTTTCTTATAGTCACCACGGTGCCTCAACAAACTCGCTGTCATCAAAAAACAAACGTTCATCATAATGCTGGAGACAGCATCGGGGGCGGCATGTACAATTTGCAGCGAACACTTACGCAACTCACTGTGCTACATCAGTTAAACACAGTCTCCCCTTCGGTACCGCCACTGTCTACGCCAGCTGGAGTAACAACTTGCACTTGCTAAGCAGTATACTCGTTCTCTACAGTCCGCTTAGCTTCACTCACGATGTAACGGAATATCACCAACTTGCTCAGCTACACCTTTATGCATACTCCCACTCCATGCAAGGGACGGTTAAGCTTGCATGGCTCTGGAAGCTGACGAGGAAATTCAGTACAAGTAAACAGCGGCCAGAAACACCACGGACGGTGGTGTTCACATCGTTTACTTATAGTATATCAACTAAACATATATAATTGTACACAATAAATATCATCTTATTAACGACAAAGGAGCGATCATTTGTGTGAAGAACAGTTCATAGGGACCCCGTTACTATAGTATTCGTCAATACTACACACTACCCCTTTTTCGAAGTCGGCTACAAATGTTTGAGTTTTTTGCTAATTTTATGTAAATAAATGCAATTTGTGAAAAAGTTTATTTATTTATTACATACTGTACATAAAACTTGCATAAATTTACTTTAATGATCATTTTATCTGAAGCGAATTTTCAGAAGTATAAACCCCTCCCAAAATATATTCCTCGGTGCGCCCCTGGTCACTCTAGATAGCTGTATATATTAGTTTTGCCGGGATTCCAAATTTAGACATGGCATCGTACAGGCAAATGCTCTCTGTGTTATCAAAATTAATTAATCCCAACGGTTTCTACACTCAATTACCGCCCAACCGACACGAGGGGCGCAGTCCGCGTGACGTACGGAACCTTTTTGTTTGTTTTTTTGGTGCCGAGTCGTGGAAAATGGAGTTTGTTAAGTGTCGAGATCTAAAACTATTCAGCTACAGAATCAAATTCATCAGCTGATTGGATATGCTAAAGATAGTATTTCAATTATGGAGAGTGGAAATGATACTGGGTGGCGCCGAATGAGCTATATGGTTTGAATTCTTTATAACAGTTTCTTTTTTTTCTCTATGCCAACGGGATCAACGCCTGGAAATGACCTGCCAGCAGCATTGCCGAATGCTTTTGCTGAAAAATCGTCATTTTACCTTGAAAAAAAAATCGTAATTTCGGCCAAAAAAACCTCAAATTTTTGGTTATAATACTGGGTGGCGCCGAATGAGCTATATGGTTTGAATTTTTTTTAATAGTTTTCTTTGGGGATATTTGAAAGAAAGAGTGTACGTTAACAAACCAAGAACCATTCTCCAACTCCAAACCAACATTCAAAATGAAATCATGGCCATTACACCCGAAATTCTGCGAAAAGGTATGGAAAGTATGCTAAAAAGAGCACGTATGTGCGAGGCAGAAAATGGACGTCACTTACAGGATATCATTTTTCAAAGCTAATTGCAAAAAATTGCCCAATAATATACTGTATTTAAAAAAAAAAATTATAATAATCGCACAAATAAAAAGTTATAAACCATTTAAACCATATAGCTCATTCGGCGCCATCCTGTAGTTTTCTTTATAGCAAAAATCGAGTCCGATATGTCAAACGTGCTGGAATGAGAGTTAAAATCTTGACATAAGCAACGGAATGATTCGTTTAGTTCAAAATTAGCTTAACATGGCTTCAAAAATAGAGGTCGAAAGTGTCTTGACACTCGAGAGGGAACATTAAAATTTACCTCAGCCAGAAGGGCCGGGCCATTAATCAAGCCTGTCATTAATTTTACGATAAATATTATACCTAGCATTTCTCTACGACTTGCGAGTGTAGGCAAATTTACGAGCTTTAGACGACTAGTGTAAGGGCTTAAAAATCTACAGGGGGATGGTGTGTGTCGATTTGTATATCTAGTGTCATTAGTATTTGACGTGCGTGAAAATCTGGCCAATGCACAAAAGGCAGAAGTGACGATTTAGCTGGACAAAAAAGTCCGGTACTTTTTGACAATTGTTATCCAACTGCATTAGGTGAGGTACCAATTTATTCGAAAATAAATTTTATTTTACGTAAATACTACATGTTTGGCAACTTTCATAGAAATTGCTGAAATCAGGTATATTCAAATTTGAAAAAATCGAGAAAAATGGGGCTTATTCAAATTTAACCGATGAAAACTTACAACAAGCTAAGTCTAACTATATATTATTATACATCACCAGCAGACGCGGCGAACTTCGTCCCGCCAAAATTAATTTTTTTATTGAAACATTTGATCCAACGTTTTCGCCAGTTCACGTTTGGTTTTGTGGTCGACAGAAGGCATATCTTCCATTGCCGTCTTGAATAACCTGACGAAAGCGTTATACCGGGAAGAAGTCCTTGCGGCTCGATAGTGAATCGTCCTTGAATCTGTATAGTATAGGAGGTGGCAATTTATAAACCGGTGAGTATCATTGGTCCACATTCTGTTTAGTCACCGTATAGCAATGACCGCAATGGTTCTGATGGTTGATTTACCTGGAGTAATTTGACTTTGATCCCTGGTGCCTCCGAATCGACAATTTTTAGCAATAACTCGACTCCAGCGCCACTAAAAATTGTCATTAAAAAATTATCATTAAAATCGTTTCGGTCGTTTAGGGGGAGTTAAGCCACCAGAATAAGTCTTTTACATACAGACACTCTTCGACATTTTTTCCCATACAAAATTCGTTATACGGAGAAAATGCGCAACTTCATCAGCGAAAAAAATTCTCAAAAATCAACGGTATCTATTAGACATTAAAAACCTGCACTTTATGATACTGAAATTGAGTGAACTACAAAACTGCGTACTCAAAATTTGGTGCAATTTGATGCAAAATGAACTACATTTCTATAAAAAATTAACAAATAAATTTGTTATGAAAAAGAAAAAAAAACACTGTATTCTGGGTGTTTATATTTAAAGATAGGTAAAAATTTCAATATGTTTGGAAAGCGCCACGTCCCTTTTGCAGTAGCCCCAAAATCTCTATACCAATTTCCAAGACGCTACCACAAATACTTTCAGAGATATACGGTTTGGAAAATTCGATATGTATGGGTGATGCCGCGCTCCATTAATATATCGAAAGTCTGCAGTAGGTGTCCAAAATTTCAGAAAATCGGTACAGTCGTTCGCGAGATCACCTCTTATAAAAATAAGGAGCTTCTCTTTATATAGTTAGTGTAGGTAACACAAGGCAACACCGATTTTTATGCGGCAAATGTTGAAGCTGGTTTTGATAGGCTTTTTTGTGCTGATTAAGAATACGTAAGTATAAAGTACAAAATGTGGTGAAGGTGTCAAAAAATCGCGTTTTTTACAATACTTGAGAAGCTCTAGCAATGAAACAAAAGGTGAAAGAAACTTCCTTAGGCTTAAATTAAGGCTTGGACTGCTGGCTTCAATTCCTGAAAATACCATTCCTGCAGCTTGACCCTAAGGTTACCTATAGTCATTTATTGAACAGCTAACACTGATTTTGTTCCATTTTTGACGATAAAAAGTAAATGAGTATAAGTGACCATTAGGGCAAGGTGCAGGAATAGTATTCTCATTTTCGTTGTTGGTGTTTCCGACAGGGTAGGAGTGTGATGTAATGTGGAAAGATTTTCCGTCATCCCTTGTCAAATTTGGTTTGGAGACAAACCGGTTTCGGCGTTGTGCCATCTTCAGTGTCATTTTTCGTTCTGAATAGTTTCTGTTTGTCTGTCACTATTAATAGCCGTGTTAAATCGTCGTTGCTTCATAGTTAGGTACGTCTCAGCGGATTATATTCTTTCGTTCAACCAGTAGTTTCAATTCTGTGCGTACATCCTCAGGTTGAAATTAGCTGCTCACCTCTTTTTTGATTAATTGTTGCATGGATTCGCAGGTAGGGAAAAATCAGTTACTTTCTTTCTTTTTGTTTCTGTAGTTTGGACCTGCATTGCATTGTTTATGGTAGTTGCAGGGTTTCTGTTTTGTTTTGCGTATAGTAGTCTGAGTGGTTCGAATAATATATCAGATGCGGTGTTTATTTCCTCATTTATTATTTTTCCGACGAACGTCTTTTGTTTGTATATCTCCATATTCCCTAATACGTTTAGGCGTTGTCCTTTGTGCTGTACATGGAGAACTTTGGCTGTCTTTCCTATTTTCATTGGCGCACAATGGTTTTCTGCCATATGGTTTGTGAAGTTCGATTCCGGGGTGGTAGAAGGTTTTCGCATTTTTTGTTGTAGTCCCTTATATGTTCACGATATCTTGTTTTTATCTTGCGCCCTGTTTGTCCTATGTAACTATGTTGACATTCGCAAGTCAACTTATATACACCTTGCTTGTCTAGTGGATCTTCCTCGTTTGCACTATTTCGTAGTATCCTCCCCACATTGTCCTTCGTTCTAAATACGTTAGCCAATTTATATAAAGTTTTGCCCGTACAAGTCAAGACTGCCTAAGCCTTTTCATTATTTTCCTTCTTATTTGATTTCTTCGTTTTTGTTTCTCTTCTTATCTTGTTTACTAGGCCCTTTCTCTATCCGTTATTTTCCGCGATTGCGTATATCGTATTAAGTTCTTTGCTGTAAGCTTATTTTTTCAATGGGGTTCGTTCAAGCCTGGTTATTAGATGTCTAAAGGCTGCATTTTTGTGCTGTTGAGGGTGGTTTAAGTATTGTGTATTATCGTGTCTGTGGCCGTGGGGTTTATATATATCCCGAATTCGCATTTGTTGGTAACCTTACTTATTTTAATTGTTATGTCCAAGAGTTTATTTTGCCTTCGTTTTCCTTATCCATAGTGAAATTTATATTCGTGTGTTAGCCGTTGAGATAGCCTAGAATTTGTTCTTCCTTGTCTCCCGTTACAAGACATATGATGTCATCAACGTATCTTGCGTAGAACTTTACTCCCAGGCTTGTTGTCAGCTCCGTCATATACTTTTCCTCTAAATGTTGCATGAATACTTCCATCAAAATTGCAGATGTGGGATTACCCATCCCTAGCCCGTTAGTTTGTCTATATATTTTCTTATTAAACTTGAAGTAGTTTTGGTCTAGTGTTACCCTCAATGTGTTCACGATTTCCGTTGCTACGTTCTTGTCTGGTCCACCTATCAGAAAAAATATCCTATATGTTAACCCAGCCAATAAGCTACCTACGTGCCAAATTTCAAGCAAATCAGACCATAAATAAGACTTTTTCGAATAGATCGGTCCCTGGCCCACTTAACGGAAAAAATGAATCCTGTATACTAATCTAGGCAAAAGGCAACCAACGAACCAAATGCATTTTTTTTTTAACGTAGCTCGACCCCTGCGCCATCTATCGGAAAATTAAAGTTTTGTGCACTCCTTGTTCTAAACACCTTTCTAAAAAAAACAGCTCCCATTCGAATCAGTTATAAAACATAGGAGAAAATTTTTCCCAATTGATTCAAGCTCCCAATGAATTTCACAATTATCCGAAATTTTCCAAGCTTTCGTCGAAAAAAAATTCAATTTTTTTGCGTTCTTCCGGATT